ACTGCTGTTTTGTGTGCTGTGCCTTATCTACTCACACAATTGTTCCCATTAATGAGATTAACTGAAGACATTCAGGAAATTAGCTGCCGTTTGCTGATTTGTTTCTGCCAAAATGGAGTGATTCTACATAAGTGTCAAATTGTACATCTGTCCCATATAGATACAGTAATTCACTGCCTGCTTGATTCTTACTCAGGGGAATAATCTTGTGGCTTAACTTTGTTTTTTCCCCCTCCTTGTCCATTTTTATTATGGGTCTTTGTAGATGTGCCGGAGGGTGAACTGCAATAGTTTAGATTAGGAATCAGTATGTCAGAGAAAATAAAACAAGGTCTAAGGTCATTCAACAGCAATCACGGCTATTGTTGGACAAGCATATAATGGGCAATTCCAAAAAAAAGCCATTTTTTAAAATCTTTTTTACTTAAAATGGCTTTTAAGAAAAATCTTTCTGCAGTATTGTGCTTTGCAGTGTTATCATTTAACTGTCATTGGCAGTATGCTTCAAATAAAGTGCCAGCCGATGTCCTAGTGAGCCCACATTCTCTACACTTTGGAGGTGTTGCATCCAACAATTTCTGAAACAGACATCTGACAAACACATCAGACAGCGATGCCAGGTGAAGAGGTGAGAAGATGGCAGGATCTTAACTTCTCTGTCCAGCTTACTTTTCTGTGCACAACCAGTGAAGGCTTCCAAGGCAAGTCTCCCTCAAAACATCAAAAAAGATTATGGTTATGACAAAAAGTCTGTTATGGGATGCACAACTTGGTCTCAAGCTGTAGTCAAGAATTTGATGGACAAGGAGGGTACATATCCAGCTTTGTGTGGGTGTACCGTTTGCTAGGTTCAGCAATTTTGGCTGGATGTTGAACTTAGTCTCACACCTTAAACACAGAAGTTCTTGAAACTTGCAAATAAGTTACTGTTTTTCAGCTGATATGCATTGTTAGTTGATGAGCTGTTTTTGCACTTGACTTTTCTGGCCATCCGTTTTAACAAACTGCAGCCACACCAACAGCTTCTCCATGTAAGCCAGTTTGAGGTTGACTCTGAGGTAAAGGTTCAGAAAAAAAAGTTCGACCTAGTCCAAACTGTGAAAAATGGGATGCTATCAGCACACCCCATTTTTCACAGGTAGTCTGTTGCTTCCGCTGTTGGGAATTATTGATCAGTCCTGGAAGGCTTGATCTATAGGGTTGTAGTGAGCATATCGACCAAGCAATCGAACAGCAGACACTGAGACTACAGCCCTTCTCCAGGCTGAAGAAATGATACATGGTCCTCCACCAGTGTGATGTACAACACACAGCCCCTCCTGTAGTGACATTGTTAATTATGAATGCTTTATGGATACTCACCTGCCAAAAGGAACTAAGAAGGCTTAATTTTTCCCAACTTTTCCATGATTTTTATCGTTTTTAGCATTGCAATGTCTTGTAGATGCAAGTTTGCTACGTAATTTCCTCCCATCTAGCGCCAGGAATGAGCTTGAATGCCAATAGGCAGAGAAGGGGCTTTGGATTTGTTGCACTGATTGAGAAGGAAACCTCACTCCTGCCCCCCTGAATAATTCATTGATTGGCATATGGCGTGTAGAGAAAAGCCCAATGATCCCTGCATGTCTGTCTGTGTGTATTCTTATTTCAACTGTAGTCCACAATGAGTTCAATTGAGCGTGTTCCTGTTCCCTCCCATCAATGATTTCTGCACACTTTTACCCTCACATTTAACCATCTTTAACCAGCTGCACTAAATTTAGTCACTTAAATGTCATCTGGTTCTTACAACACTTTCACTCAATTGCTAAAAATGTCAGTTTCTCTCCATAAGTATCATTCTGGCAGATAAAATCTTACATATTCATTATGACAAGTGTTCATGACAAGGCATAGCCAGACATGCTAAAGGAATTTGTGGGAGCTTTCCTGGTTCACATTAACATAATGTGCTGTGATGTTTCATTGCAGTGGAAATGAGCATAGAAAAACTATCAGTAGCCTTTCTGTCAGGCTTTAAGAATTATCTGTAGACCAAATAGCTGTTTTAATAGTGGTCAAATTGGCTTTTCAGTTGTCAGGAAATAGTACTGTCACTGCTAATGAGTGCAATCTAGACAACATGTGCATCCCAGCTGGCAGTAAGAGCTCTCAGTCCGGACATTCTTCACACAGCCCACTGTGGGTGATTATCTATTCAAGGGGAGTACACTAACTCTTACCTGTCACTGCTACTGCTTCACACTAGAGAGAGAACTAATAACTTGCTGCACAAACATGCCTTCCAATAGCAGCAAATACTGAGCAGCAGAGGAGCATTTACCCACAAAAAAACACATTTTGGGAAAACTTTATCCATAAGTCATTGTCAACAGAATATGCTGTACTTTTTGGTCTTTTTCTTGAGTAAAACTAGAGACTGATCTAATGGCTTTTGAATGGAATAATTATCCAGATAAGTGTTGTACTGAATGATATGGTTCAGTGTTTTTAAAGGTTGCTTTTTATGACTGAGAGCGCAGGGGAAAGCAGATCAGACAGTGCATTTTCTCTCCATATCTATTGATTTTTCATAGACAGTGAAATAATTTAAGGGGCAGTCACGGTGAGATCAAAGCATAAGGTGCAGGAACAGGACAAAAGGGGATTGTATGTGCCGTGAAGCAGAAAAAACATCCTCAGCACAATTTGCTTTCTACACAGCTTAAAGGAGAAATAAAGCGCCATCAAGCAGCAAAATGTGCCTGTTTGTTGCTGCTTTGACAAGACAAATGTGGTCGAGCCTAGGAGATTAACACCAAAAACGTAAAATTTTAGTAAACCTGAGAGTTAGGAGCAAGGTTTGAAACATTTTGACCATGGAAGAATCACTTGGAATCAATAAAAGTAGAAATTAGAAATAGAAATCAGTATTTGAGACTCTAATAGCCAATTGTATGCTTTGTTTTTGCACTAACATGTATTGAGTCATAGTCAGATGAATTACCTTCTACTTAAAATGCACCGCCGTTTGTCCTCAGTCTGTCCGCCAGCCGGCCTGCTCTCCCAAGCGATGGGTGGCATGCGCAGTGTGTCCAGCCAAGCAGCATGCAGGCTTCGGCTCTCTGGTCTAAATGGCCGCGGATGGTGGCTGAATAGTGAACTGGTGGGAGCCTGGACGGATGCCTGGAGAAGATATGGGAGACCCCATCTTACTGCCAGAACATGCTGAAACACAGACCTGGCATTGTAACCCACCCAGAGGGGACCAAGTCTGGGCAATAGGATATTGTTTTCTCACTAAAGAAACCAAGTCTAGGACCAGACAATGAGAAAGTATGGTCTAGCACTGGAGCCAGAATTATCATTAATTTATAGGTATTTTGCATGTTGCTTCCTGAGTATTGCACAGGCTAAGGACATCTTTAAAGACTATGGGACATGGTTGAAAAACAACTGGGCCAAATTAGACTGATAACCTGTTAATTTCATCTTTATAAATGCAGCTGATACCGATATTGTCACCACATAATGTTTGACCGTAATTGTCATTGTAGTTGCTAAATTTTTTTTTTATGAACAGTTGCACTTGTTGAGCTTTTGACTACTCCTACTACACACTTTTACAATTAAGACGAAAATTTAACTTGCATAAACACCAAAAACCATGTAACACCTGAAAAACATCTGCCACTGGCATGTTTTCCAGTATAGGCAAGATGGTGACAAGTAAGAGTGAGAAATTTGACGTTCTACACAATTTTGTTGAATACGATCATACCATGGGCACCTGTAGTGCACATATGTGCTAAAAATAATGGGTATAAGTACAGTAGGACAAGATTTGACATGCATAAAATTGCTAGCGTAATACTAGCTTAAAAATATGTAGAGTTCTTGTTTAATGAGTAGCTAGCTGTTTGCTAACCTAGCAAACAGCTGGTTTTAGGGACTTTGAATGTAAGATGTTAGCCTTTCTACTGTGTAGCTGAACAAAACCCAGGTTATTATCAGAAGTACATGGCTTGTTTATAACAATAAAATATATTTATGTAAAACAGTTATATTGCTGTAAGAAGGTATAGGCCTTTTCCCAACCTCTTGTAGCTAACTTTATTTTTTTAAGCTGACTTCCAACCTTGATAACCTCAAGGCAAAAAATTACTCTTTCCACTCTATAGGATTAAAATTGTAGAAAGTCATGAGAAGTTAGCAATGAATAATATCATTCAAACTTATAATTTTCTTTCATGGTCTGTGTTGAACGGGCCTTTCTAATCTGTGTGGCACTGAGCTACAAAAATACAGTGACTTCCCGTGGCTCATTTCTTCTTTTCTTACTTACCTGCAGTGATGCAAACATAACTTTAGCTTATGAACCGACCTGGACATCCGTTAGAATGATTCCTGAAGCTTTCTAAAAACCCTGAGGGGAGCTGGAATATTGCTTCACATATCCACTATAGCATAGATATGGTGTATTATGCAACTTGATCTGGGCTGGCCCATTAAACAGCACAAGCGTGAAATCTAGGGCAGAACGCCCAGCATCCCAAGACGTGTCTGCAGCTTTGAAACGCCGGGGTGACGCTGAGCCAAGCTCCAACTGTGTCAGGCCCAGTCACATGCACGCAGCCATACAAACAGAAGTGTGTGGATATTTACACAGAGGCATGCGTACAAAACAGAAGACATGGACAGACATGTTTACTTTCCTATATACCCTGCTCTATACAAATACTCATCATTCCTATGAATTAGAATTTGGTTCTCATCCATGCACAAACCCACTGTTATTATGTCGTCTTTCTTTTCTTTTCTTTTTTTTAACTACAATTTTATTATTAGATATGTGTGGGTCCAAAAGGGAGTATGCTGCCTCTTATTTGAAGTTGTTCAGCAACTGTATTGTAATATGGGTGACAGTTTGTGTATGTATTATATGCAAAAAACAAAACTTAATTGCAAAGTTCAGAGTGTAAATTGCCTATTGTCTAATTTCTGGTTTTTCGTCTCTTCAGCAGAGCAAAGATGATGTGTGAAGTGATGCCCACGATCAGCGAGGACACAGCTCTGAGCCAACGCGGCTCTCAGAGCAGCGCCTCAGACCCGGACTCACATTTTGAACAGCTTATGGTTAATATGCTGGACGAACGGGACCGGCTGTTGGACACATTGAGGGAAACTCAGGAGAGCCTCGGTCTGGCCCAGCAGCATCTACAGGACGTCATCTATGACAGAGACTCGCTGCAGCGGCAGCTCAGCTCCGCCCTGCCACAGGTAAGCAGCTTAAATCCTTGTTTTCAAAAAGTTTTTTAATATTATTGTGGAATCTTTGTATCCTTGACTTTTTGAAATTGCTGATATGACAAGAACGAAGGATTGACATGCAATTAAAGTAGGAAGCTGGAATAATGATGTGCTTACAAAGGATGTGTTGTGACTTCCACGACACTGGGATGTCGTCTTTGACTTATTTTATGTGTGTTTTGTCTTAAAGTTGCTATAAAATTATTAAAATATTGTCCATCTAAACTTTATACTTTCTAAAACTTTCTTTGGTTTTATTGTTTTAGTGTCCTCTTCACAACACAACCTAAATCCCAAACAATAGAAAAGGCTGATTGCCAACGACTTGGGCTTTATTATTGTAAGGCAAGTCAAATACAAAACCTTAGGTTAGTTTTATGAACAATTACTTGGGTTAAAACGGACCCTTTTACAAGAAGGCAAAAGTCGCCTACCTGCATCTTTTTTCTTTCGTTCTTGTTTTCTTCATTGTCACAGAGAGGTGTGGATGCTAATCTAAATGTATGCCTAAGCTGTTTTTTAACCATCAAATCAATGTCTTATCTCTGACTTTGTAAACAGTGTAGAGAAAAAAGCGTGCAAACGTCCAACTCTCATGATTGATAGAGGTAACATGCTGACACATGCATTTCCAGTGGATTATACAAATAAGAAGTACTTTTCAACTGAAACTGGTTTTGGAACAGGTCTTGACGACAATACTGCCTTTCAAACATTTGTCATTTCATAAGACATTTTGCACATACGCAGTCATTCCCGACATAAATCGAACTTCATCCTCTCTTTAAATTAACCACTATTATCGTTTTTCATGTTGGGCACCTGTTGCATACAGTCGTGTGAAAAATTAAGTACACCTCATAGTTCAATAGCTTGTAGAATCACCTTTCGCAGCAATAACGTAACAATCCTCCCATAACGGCATTTTCTGTATGGCTTTCTCAGTGTTTCACATTGTTTACGGAGGGATTTTCACCCACTCTTCTGAACGGTGTTGCTTTACTTTATTAAAGTTTGTTGTTATCCATTTATGGGCAGCTCTTTTGAGGTCCTGCCACAACATTTCCATTGGGTTGAGATGTGGACTTTGAGTAGTCAAACCTGTTGATGATCAGTTAATTAAGTACATTTCATTAGCAGCACCTGGCTGCTACTTACTGTCTTAATTCCTATGGTATCAGTAAGGGTATACTTAGATTTTACAGGACTGTGAAAACTTGTTTTTTACATGAATGTAGAGTGTGGCTGTATTGCTTTCTATTTGCCTCACAAATTGTGTAAAAAAAAAAATAAAAATTTATATATGCCTCCCCAGCACTGTTTATTATTCAGACGAGATAATTATCTTTTAATTTGCAGAGCAGCGCTTCATTATGCTTAAATGAACAAGGCGCTAGTACTGTGTCTTGGAGTACCATATGACTCTCACCAACAACAAATAAATTTGTAATTTTAAATGAACTCAACACAGAGAGCTTATCAATTTTAAGAGAATGAATTTAGTGTATTTGTTGCTTCCTGTAACTACAAGTAGGCTCCAATTACAACACCAGTTTCTTTTACATGTAGATAATTTTGTAAGTACTTGAGAGTGTACAACAAATTAATTAATAGCATATTAATGGGTGCTACTGTGCTCTTACACTCACTGGTTACGGATATCTGCAGTGCTGAGTTTACCCAACCTAAATGTCTTTGATTGCATCAGCATGTTTGAGATAATTTAAAATTTCAGGCATAACCGAACATTCAGTGTGCATTCGCCTGTGTGGGTTATATGACAATGGCAACCTGTCTTGTTTGAAAACAAATCATTGAAACACATTTGTGAGGATCTTTGAGCAATGCATACATAGAAGCCCTTATGTAATGGTTCCTGCAGTAAGTGGAGATTAGCTAAAACTGTGTCAGTAATTCTAGTCACATGCCTTTCCCACTCTGTCTCTAAGAGACTCTGAGGGTTTGTCAGTAAAGAGGACTTTGTTCACAGGAGGTGTCAGATTTTTTTTTTAAAAAATTTTTTTTACTTCTTGCCCCTTGGCCTTCAGAATAATTTGAATTAACCCATTTTCACCTTTTCTGATTCAGATCTCTGGACCGTGTGTCCCAAGTGGGTAAAAACCTTGTTTTTACCAGAGTCAGCCTTTGCTATATTTGATCTTGAATTCATCTCAGAATGCAGGTTTGAACTTGGGGTTATGTGGTCTTCCAGCTCATGTTTTAGCCTCAGGGCTTTTATCCACCTCAGAAGTTACACAGTGAACAAAATACACAGTTGAGAGAACCAGACAGACAAAAAAAGCAAAAGTTAGGCACTAGCAAATTCTGTTCATAGATGTTTTTGGGTTATTGTTTTTTTTAGCTTCTAGGACAGCCTACACACACTGAATAGAATAACAACAAAAGGCAACAAACCTTCCTCTCGTCCCATATTTGAATGCATGTCCTTAGGCAGTCTTATATTTCTTCTCCATCCAAACATACTCACAATTTTTTTTCTCCAGAAAAAGCATCCAAGGTTGCCAAAGTGAAATAACATTTCAATTATCAGACAGTTTTGCTGATGTCCGCCGGCAGTAAAGTGCTACAATGATGTATGGGTTGTCACTGTGTAATGACAGAGCTGACACACGGTTCTGGTGCTCTTCCTGGCATCGGGATTAATTCAAATATCACTGGGATCTTCCTAGCAATGTCCTGGCACAAACGATTCTATTAATTATGTTGATGGTGTCTTATTGGGCTGCATGATATCAGCATTACTGCTGTGGTTCACGAAGAGGTTTGATAGACCTTGGCAATTATACAGAAGCTTTTGGTGAAGGAAAGAGGTGCCCTGTTGTGCTTCTGTTTAATATGCAGCTGATAAGAGTTGTGCTTGCAGCTTCTGGCTTTTTGAGCAATAAAAATGAGATTATTTCAAAGAAGCAGCCATCACCTTTATTAAGGATGTCTTTGCTCTCGATTAGACCTAAATGACTTTACTGCATCTGACACTTCTTTTATAATGGGACTTCCCTAATAAAGATGTCATTTTGGGGGCCGGTAGTGCAGAACAATGCTCAGATAACCATGTAGTGGGATTCTTAAAAGAGGGCAATAGATAGCTTCCAGGATTTTCTCCATTTTGTGTGTGTGATTGCTAAGGAGATGATGAATGAGAAGAGGAAAAGGTTTTTTTGGTGGGGGGGGCAAAAGTGGCCTCATTTAAGCAATAGGCAGGCTGTGAATGTGTCTTTACTGATATCACTCCTCTGTTCCTGAAGCCCAGAGCGCTGGCAGGATTAGATGTTGGCCCACCACAAACTTGCTTCCTCTTGTTCTTCTTTCCCTTTGTTCCTTCTCTCTCTGTTTCTGCTGTGGCCGCCTTTTTTTTTATTGTTGTGTTGCACTTTGCCTTGCATCTCCCTCTTCTCCTCTGTTTTTCAACTCTCTCTCTCCATCCGAGGTCACGGCTCCGCTGCTCGTCACGACACTTTCGACTCATCGGAGTGACATTTGCCGTCCCTGACGCTTCCAGCAACACATCCCCGCTTACATGCATAAAAATTCGGCAGTACCCCTGGCCCTTCCCTGATATGCCTCCCCACCCCTACTGCCGACTGTCCCTTGTCTGTCCATTCTAGATTTCATCAGCCTGTTTTGTTATATCACAGTGAAATAACAGAGACAACCATTATTTGTTTGTCATGCACTCAGTGCTGCGTGACATGCTTTTTCTGCAAAGAGGCCTCTGCCCTAAGTGTCTTATTTAGGCAAATGCTTAAAAAAATGTTATTTTTCAGTTCTAAACAAGAAAAATCCAAGATATTCTCACTAATCAACTACTGCAAAGCTCTAATTACAAAAGAGAACTTTTAACATTGCAATAAGTCCAAAGAAACCTTGTAAGTCATTCTCGTATAATAACCACTGAACTGACTGTTGATTCTCGTTGTGAATATGCTCCAATTCCTCACATGCTTCCATACTTACACTTGCTTTGGTGAATAAATACATTCTAATTGGCAAATACAGTTACTTGAAGTGCACTACAGGTGCCCACATGGTGTACTGGTAACATTCAAGAAGGTGAATGTGGAATGCTGAAAAAATTATCCCGTCTTCCTCCTATTACCCCCAACCGGTCGCAGCAGATGATTGCCCCTCCATGAGCCTGGTCCTGCCAGATGTTTCTTCCTGTTAAAAGGGAGTTTTTCCTTTCTACTGTTGCCAAATACTTGCTGTTGGTCAAATACTTTTAAAAAATGATTGTTTTTTGTTTTGTTTGCTGAAACCATTATATCATCAAATAGCTAATATCACACAAAGGTTGGGCTCTAATATTAAATACATTGTGTTCTCCAAGAGAAATATGTGAATTGAATAACAGTCTAATAGTTGTTTCAGAACATCCTTACTTACTGTACTGAAGGTCCACAGGAAGCGGTCCATTTGCCGATTTATTGAATAAGTGACAGTGTTTGGAGCAAACACAAACATTTCATATCATATCCTCATTGATCTCTGCATGATACAATTAAAGTGTGAATGATTTTAAAGCATGGCAGATCATTTTCAACAGATAAAGGAATGGGTTTAACCTCAGCTACTTTCCTGCTGTTGATGTGTTACTCCGCTTGCAGTAAGCACTTTGTTCTTGCCTCTAACTATAAGCCTCTGTGGTAAATGGGGAGCACTGCTGTCATGTGAAAAGCCTCATATAGGTCCACATTTTGCATTGCTCTGTGTTGAATCTGGAGCCTCTTGAAAACAGAAATATTCTACACCAATACTGAATAAACAGTTTAAAAGAAAAGTGTTCAGACAACTCAAAGCCTGTAAGACCATCCACATGTGAGCCTTCTCCATCCCCCAACAGTGCCTGTATTGTGACACATGCAGGGAAACTGGCAGACAGGCAGCTTTCTCTGGAGCGCTCAGCTGTGCGTTACTGTACTGGAAGGACCCTGAGGGGCTGCGGAAGCCTT